TGCAAAATGTTCAAACGTTTTTCGCTTCAGTTTCAGATTCAATATAGGTAATCGTTAACCTAATAAAATCATTCATAAGTTCCAATGAAATTTGATCATATAATTGAAATATGCATCCTATGATATCATATATATAATACAAAAATTTCAAAATATTTGACATTCTCGACATCCTGTAACCATTTTCATTGTATATCAGATTTTTAATATTTTCCATTCTATATCATATTTTAAATATTTTACATTGTATATTATATTTGAAATATTTTTCATTCAATATTATATTTGAAAGAAACGTTTATATCTTAAACGTTTTTGTCGACACCATACGTCAATATTTTCTATACTTCCATTGCGTATCATATTTCAAATATTTTCGTGAATCACGCACGTCAATATTTTCAAAGCTCTATATAGAATATCTAAATCTGTTCAACGTATTTGAACTGATTTTATAACCAGAACGTTTTTCTCGGGTGTTGTGTTTTTAAAAACGAACCCGTTCCATTTACGTATCAAACCGTGTTCCGCACGATATTGCGGTTCACGTAAGTGAGAGATAAATACTGTAACACGACTGCAATGTGAATCTGTGTTTTATTATATAGTCTTCGCGCATGTCGCATGAAATAACGTCACTTGCGAAACACAGATGGGAAAACATGCGTACGTCACGTGAATTTAAAGGGACAGCATCGTTTGAAACTTCTGGACATAGATACACTATCGCATTGTTTTACTGTGCAACGGCTCGATAACAAATTTATCAATAAAGTATTGTGAACTGTTCGAGTGAAACATTTGAGCTCCACATTTCTTTTTGAAGGTTTCACGTTCGTTTATGAATTTTATTTAATTTTGAACTGCATGGTGGAAAATAATGGTAAAATTAGAATATTCAATTTTATCTTATTATTTACGTTATTAGATACTTATTTTCAAAATAGTTTTCATGGAATTCGAAGAAAAATGAAAGGATACATTTTTCTTAAAACGTCGACTTCTTTTGTAATTCCTATTAGCAATTAATTCTTATTAGGACTGTTTTATAAGAGAATACTCAACAAAACTATGTAGTTTTACTAATAACTAATTAGCTTTGACGTCTAAAATCGAAATCCGCAAATGAATAGTTCAATTGTTTCGATAACCAGACGTTAATACATCGTCTTCTTCGTTTTTAGCATTCAAGACCTCGAAGCTTGACTCAATTTTGTATAGAAAGTGTTTTTGGAAGTTGAACAAATTCTAATTCGCTCATGGGTTAACAATGGTAACATCCCAGTGGACAGTAACGTAAACACAGACAATCGTCTAGACGATTGTAGGCACTGTTTCAGAAGGAAAGGAGAAACAGGCGCGTAAGAGGATCCAGTGGACAGTAGCTGGCTATGAGAAATCCTCATTACTCGTTCTGTATCCTATTGTCCCGACAGAACCGAGACCTAAATTAATGTTTACGCTTTCCACTGGTTAGACGTCAACAATGTCATTTCTGGGTAACAAATATATTTAACAATATTGTTACACACGAAGTTAGTTGCATCCTGTTTGAATGTCCACTAGCGTTCTGTTCATGAATAGAGTCCATATCATTATTTGCTTGTTGCTGATATGGTAGACCGAGGCGAATCAGATCGAAATAAGAATCCAGTACACATTTGTTACATTGTAAACCGTATTTCTCATTTTTTATCTTTTATTTATAAGATATATATAAATTCTTCTTCGCCTTTTATTACTAATGTTCGAGTATTTCTGTTCCTTTGCTGTCAAAGGCGAGGCTAACCTATTAATCGTCTTTTTAATGATTGTGTCTTAGCACTAGTTTCACATTCCAAATATTATTGTACTCTTTGTGGATTTTATGTTGGGTTCAGTGAAAATAAAGTAACGAGTATGTTAATTTATTTATTATCGAGCAGTAGTTTTGAAGATACCTCGATAAGCAAAGATTCGTCAATATGGCCAATTAGCATTCTGGTTGTTCATAGAAGCATAGAACGAAATACGCTACATAGTAATTTTGAGAAGAAGAACTTTATTATCTTCTATAATATTTCATATTATCTCGACGCGTACACAGATTCATGATTCACGTGGTACCAATAAATTCGTTTAAAACGAATGGACCATTTTTGTTCGCCTTGGGGGTTTGTCTGAGTTTTAATGTGTACATTTTTTAACCCGTGCGTACCGTAAGGTTTGATAAATTTATATAATGGTTTTAGTTTCGAAATGCAATTTGCTTTGGGTAAAGAGTTTTCAAACAGACAAATTTCGTACAATGTTTTTATAGAACTATACAGATTTGTATAATTTTATTATAATTGGAATGTTACTAACGTATTTGTAGAATAATTACTTTTTGTCAATTAAAACATTCGTGTTTAACTGCATTCAAAACTTCTTCAATTTTTCCAAAAGAGAACATTCAAATGGAAAGTAATTATTCCACGTTTTCAAATTATTTTTTTATTTGTATGTGAATGTCACTAGATACATGAAAAATGTATAGTGTTGCTTTCTACGACAAACATTCACTAAAAACAATATTGACCGGCACCAGAAATGAACGTCAGCAACATTGACTGACACTAATTTTGATCGATAGATGCTGTTATCCGCGTGTACCCGTTATTAACGGTTTATCTGCGGGCGGTTATTTAGCAGCGTTTTCAAAATCAATGATTCTGAAAATTTCTTAATCAACTGTCTAATGAAAGTAGCGACTATAATAGTGAAACAGGTAATCCGAAATATCTTAATAATTTAATAACTCCTTGTAGCCATTGTTTACAAGGAACTTTAAATAATTATTTTCAGTCCTCCAAAATATAATTTAACCTTTAAACGAAAATGAATAAATTACGGTATAGAAACGATACGAAGCATAAAATAGGAATTATACAGATATTTCCTTATGAAAGCAAAAAATTCACGAAACTGCCCCATTAACGTCACAAGCGGTGAATACGAGTGTCCATCAACCTTGGTTCCGTTGAATTATTTGTCAATCAAGGCGGTGTCGATGCAGCTTCCCTCGTTAATTTCAACAGAACTCGAATACAGTATTCCAAAATTAATTAAACGAGCAACGATCTAAATAAGCTCGCCTTAAAAATCAATTTTAAGCCTTACGACTTCTACAATTTTCATCCTTAGTGGATTTTGGGAAACACTAAAATCTTTTACCATAGAAAATCAACTTATAAATATAATTCTTAAATACTGAAAAAGAATGAAACCATATACTGATGTTATGCTATTTAAATAATTAAATGATCTGCTTACAACTTTTCATTCTAGACACTGAAGCTCGATGCCACCAATATGGCGGCACTCGTTCTCAAAAATTGAAACGAATTAAATAGATAATTAATATCAAACAATACAGAATAGATAGAACAGACTGGCAGAAAATTCGAGAACGAACTTGTTTATTCGCCAATAGCGAACTCATCGTTCCGACATCGCATTTTGGTACCATTACGGAAGTTGAGAGGTAATCTTACAGGAGATTTCGTCGTTAACGGCAGTGATTCCGTTCGGTACCGGCTGCTGCAAATGTTCGATTAAGCTCGTTTGATTCGAATTTTCAATCCACCCCGTTCGTGCCCTGCATTTCGTTTCTTATTCTGCCGTTTTTGAGCAGTCATTTCTCCTTTTTCTTTTTTGGTGTAAACATTTCTGAAGCAGTTGAAAGCTAAAAGGTGTGACACGTATTCGAGATTCAAATTGCACGATTATTCTCAATATTATTGAAACTATTATTTTCTGTGGAAATTGAAATAAAGAACTACCATATCCAATAGAACGATGGGTTTCGGTTTCCTTGTTTCGCAATTATTGATATCGTAAAAGGATTGAATATCCAAAACGATTTGAAAAATAAAAAAATGTATAAAGAAACCAAAAAGAATCTATTAGAATTTTTATAAGGGTTACATATTGATCATATTAATCGTACCATGATTTTAGTGTTAACAATTATTAATAAGTTGTAGATTATTCTGTAAAATAAAGATTCCTTGGTACAATCTACATATGTTCATTATAATTTTAATTCACCTATTCACAAGCTTCTTCAGGATAGATAATGGAACGGAAAAAACAGTAAAGGATTTTTGCTTAATAAAATAAATAGGTAAGACAAACAAAAGCAAATTACACGTTAACTTATTAAAGAGAAGGAATAGAAGATTATATTGCAGCTTATTGTACTTTCTTTCGCAGACTATGATTATTAGAAGTAATCCCCGAGTTTCAAACGATAGTCTACGTAAAGCTAGGTAGTACAGGCAACAGTTGTATATTTATATAAGAAATTCTTACAGCACTGTTTCGCCCCGACACGGTTAGAGAATTTGGGCAATCCCCGGTGCAGCACATTTTACAGAGAAAAGCGTAGAATTCGAGATAAAATTTCACAAAAATTCGTTGGCCCGTATTACGAAATTTATAAAGATCCCCCCCGAGGGAAAGTGAACAAGCAAAAATAAAAGACTTCTTAATAATAGAAAGCGTAGAAATAAAAATACTGTCGAGAGGGTTTCAAGGTGGATTTATTTTTCAACAAATAAAACCGATCGTTTTTATAGTGTTTGGCAGTGATGAAAGGAAATAAGAGAAGGAAAATATTAATCTGTATTATTTAACACTCATATTTCAGTAAATAAATAGATTAAATTATTATAAATTACGAATAGTCTTCATCTGAATTTTTTACATAAAGTAATTAATTTCTGTTATGAATTAATATTATAATTAAATAGACTGAAAATATTTAGAAAATTCTTAAATAAAATTAATAATGCATAATCTTGTGTTTTACTTTGGTTAATTTCATAATAGAAATGACATGTGTTTGTTAGTAATAATTTTAAGTTAGACTTTGCATTGTAACGTGAAAATTATGCAAAATAGTTAAACATAAAGGGCTGCGTGACGCTATTAGCTGATACATATGATAGAACTTCAGACAAACTTCTAGAAATTACCTTAACAAATATTAACCTGGTAGTTGACCTCAGAATGACCAAGGGCATGGCCCACACGTTCACACGACTTCTGCTTTGTAGAGTCCTTTGCTTGAGGGGACCTTAAACGATAAATAATATTTATTGATTTACAATGATATAAATGATAAAATATTATTAGATATTATTATTATTCATATGTATATATGTACGGGCATCGAAAGTATTTTTAACTATAAGAAAACTGAAATTTATAGATTGAACTTACATTTATTAAATTATTAATTACATAAGAAACTAAATGATAATATGAAGTGAAAGAATTTTATTTTATAATCTTTTCGTATGACGTTATTTGAACTGTTATTGAAATGATTATGAAATGAAATTTTCTGTTTCTGATTGTATTTTGTAATTATATACCTTCCTCTACAATACTTTTTTATAACATCTCTTCGATGAAATGTACAATGTGTTGTATCTTCAAACAATTGTTTTCATAATGCGCGATTCTCGTGATTCTCGTCATCTGTATCTTTATACTCTTCAGTTCTTACGAAATGTTTGAAAGAAAATACTTCTGGAACTAATTAGCTCATTTCAGAATTCCAGAATTTCTACTTTACAATTATTAATTTTAATGAAACAAGTATATTTTACGAAATTTCAATCTATTCTTTTAACTCAAATCTACAATGCCCTGAAGCATTATAGTATGCATTGTGCAAAATATCTTGGTGTACATTAAAACGATAAAAACAATTTTACCATTATTTCTTATACAAAATTTTGAATGAAACTGTGTATAAAATATTACTAACTGTATGAAATATCTTCACAAAATTATCATAGATGAAAGAAAATATTTAGAAGTAAAGTAAAATAAATGATATTGACAAACATAGGTAATTAAAACACACAATGAGGAAAGAAATTCGCGATGAACATTTCTAGACTAATTTAATCAAATTCAACATTTCATTATCCACAGATCAAAGCAAAAAACAATTTTGCTATTACCAATTTATTATCATCAAAGTAAATCTGCATTTACAATGGAACAGAAAATTTGTTGTTTCTCCCAAATTGTCTATAGTAAAATGTTCCACGAGCTTACCAGAGAAAGTAAATAATACACCAGTGAGTTAATAACTTCCAACCAAACTACCAGAACCCTACAAGTGTAAGCCTAATACCTTCATCCATTATACATTTTATTAATAA